CCTTCCTGAACCATGGTCCCTACGACAGCTACGGTTATGGCTCCTTCGGTGAGTGCCACGAGCTGTCCCTGTCCCTCACCCCCCTGCCCGTCGGCTGTGCCCACCCTTGTCCTTGTTCTTGCAGGGAATGGCTCCTCCAGCAGCACCGAGGGCATCACAGACAGCCTGGCCTCAGCAGAAGTCTCCTACAGTTACGTGGGTGAGTTGCTGGGCCACTGGTGTGGCCACAGTCCTGCGGAGCCTCGTGCCCAGTGGCATCCTGGTCCTGCCCCCTCCATCTCCGGGAAGGGTCCTGGGGCTGCTGGCCCCTCCGTGCAGCCCCCAGCGGGGTCTCCACCAGTGACACACCTCAGGGAGCTCTGCTCCAGTAACTCTGGCTTTCCTTTGAAGGGCAGGAGCAGTTCAAGCGGCGCACGCCCTCCGCCCCGACGAGGCCACTGAGCATTGCCATGGGTAGATGCTGGTACCGGGCAGGGTCGGGCCAATCAGGGCGAAATCTGCCCAGCCCCGGGCTGTGCCCAGGGCACAGAACCCCTGCTCCCCTCCCTCAGAGCAAGTGCAGCACCTGAGGGGCTGCAGAGCCCCGTTGTCCGCCTGGCCCTTGGTGTTCCCCAGCGTGGCAGAGCCCTGGGGAACAGGCACGGGGCAATGCTTGCCCACATGGGCACAGCCACCACCTGTCCCCAGGGCAGGGCTGTAGGGAGCTGTGAGTTGGCAGGGAGGCAGCCCAGTGGTTAATTGGGGGTGATTGGGGTTCTGTGGGGTGGGCACCGAGGCGGGCTGGCCCAGGGGCTGTGCTGATGGCCCCGGCCCGGCGGCAGGGGAGCGGTCACTGGAGAACGTGGCCAGCCGGCCACGCCTGGACTCGCTCAGCTCTGTCGAGGAGGATGACTACGACACGCTGGCCGACATCGACTATGACAAGAACGTCATTCGCACCAAGGTGTGTGTCCCCTCCAGCCCTGCCCCCTGCCAGCTGCTCCCTGCTGGCCAGGCAAGCCCCTGACCCCCTCTCCTTCCAGCAATACCTGTGCGTGGCCGACCTGGCACGCAAGGACAAGCGGGTGCTGCGGAAGAAGTACCAAATTTATTTCTGGTGAGTGGGAGGCAGTGGGGAGGGGGGCACCAAGCTGTGTCCCAGCCTAGGGTACACAGCAGGGACCCCCTGACAGCCCCACCCTCTCCCAGGAACATCGCCACCATCGCTGTCTTCTACGCCCTCCCTGTCATCCAGCTCGTCATCACCTACCAGACAGTGAGTGTGGCCAGGGCAGCAGTGAGGGGTTTGTGGGAGTTTTGGGGGCGCAGTCCCAAACTGTGCTCCCCAGCATGATGGGGACATCCCTGGGAGCCCCCTGTGTCCTTCACCCTGCTCGTGCCCACAGGTGGTGAATGTCACTGGCAACCAGGACATCTGCTACTACAACTTCTTGTGCGCCCACCCGCTGGGGAACCTCAGGTGGGTTGTGGGGACGGAGGAGGGTGGCTGGGGGTCCCCTATGCCCATGTGCCCTGGGCTGGGCTGCAGCAGGACCCCAGGGAGGGAGGGGCATCCACAGCACCCACACCCGGTCTGGCCTCTGCAGCGCCTTCAACAACATCCTCAGCAACCTGGGCTACGTCCTGCTGGGTCTGCTGTTCCTGCTCATCATCCTGCAGCGTGAGATCAACTACAACCGCGCGCTCCTGCGCAACGACAGCCACGCCCTGGTGAGGGACAGGGCTGCCTGGGGGGGCTCGGCTGCCTGGTGGGGCTCAGCCTCCAGGACCCCCCGTTTCTCCTTCCTCCCTCTCCTCTGCCTCGCAGGAGTGTGGCATCCCCAAGCACTTCGGGCTCTTCTACGCCATGGGCACCGCCCTTATGATGGAGGGGCTGCTCAGCGCCTGCTACCACGTCTGCCCCAACTACACCAACTTCCAGTTTGGTGAGTGCCCCCCTGGTACCCGCCCCCTCCACACCGGGGCCACCCACGCCTGTCTCACCTCTGTGCCTCCCCAGACACCTCCTTCATGTACATGATTGCGGGGCTCTGCATGCTGAAGCTCTACCAGAAGCGTCACCCCGACATCAACGCCAGCGCCTACAGCGCCTACGCCTGCCTGGCCCTCGTCATCTTCTTCTCCGTGGTGGGCGTGGTGAGTGTGGGGAGCACTGAGGGACGAGGGGCTGGCTGTCCCCACCTCTCACTGCCCGCCCCGCACTCGCCCTGCAGGTCTTTGGGAAGGGGAACACGGCCTTCTGGATCGTCTTCTCCGTCATCCACATCGTGGCCACGCTGCTGCTGAGCACCCAGCTGTACTACATGGGGCGCTGGAAGCTGGGTGAGGGGGGCACCGTGAGCCAGGTGGGTGGGGACAAGGTGGTGGCTCCCCGGTGTCACCTTCTGTTTCCCCACAGACTCGGGCATCCTGCGCAGGATCCTGCACGTGCTGTACACGGACTGCGTCCGGCAGTGCAGCGGGCCCATGTACGTGGTGAGTGCTGGCACTGGGGCCCCCTGCTCTGTGGAGACCCTCCCTTGCAGCCCCCGCAGCCCCTCACAGCCCCCTCCTCTTTTGCAGGACCGAATGGTGCTCCTGGTCATGGGGAACATCATCAACTGGTCACTGTGAGTGCAGAGCTGGGCACGTGCCAGATTCCATCCTGCTTTTCCCCATCCCTGCTGCTGCCCTCACCCTGCTCCTGCAGTGCTGCCGTCCCTCCGTGGGGCTGGGCCAAGGACAGGCAGCTCATGGCAGCTGTGAGCCCAGCATGACAGGTCCCCCTGCAGCTGTGGCACCCCGGAGTCCCCAGTGCCTGATCTCCTGGGGGCTGCAGACATGCTTTGGGGACAGCGGGCATGGCAGGGGGACCCCCAGGCTGACCCCACTGCCTGTCCCTGCCTCCCCAGCGCTGCCTACGGCCTCATTGTCCGCCCCAATGACTTCGCTTCCTACCTGCTGGCCATCGGCATCTGCAACCTCCTCCTCTACTTCGCCTTCTACATTATCATGAAGGTGGGAGTTGAGCCCTGGGCCCCCACAGGCCCAGCAGGGAGGGCAGGGCAGGGCTGGGCACTGCTGCCAGCTCCTGCCCACACGGTGACCCTGGCCTCTCCCGCAGCTCCGCAGTGGAGAGCGCATCAAGCTCATCCCCCTGCTCTGCATCATCAGCACCTCCGTGGTCTGGGGCTTTGCCCTCTTCTTCTTCTTCCAGGGGCTCAGCACCTGGCAGGTGAGCAGGAGGGTGGCACAGGCAGCGGGGTGGGCAGGGTGGCCGTGAGCAGGCACAGTGACGCTGGCCCTGTGCCCGGCAGAAAACGCCAGCTGAATCCCGGGAGCACAACCGTGACTGCATCCTGCTCGACTTCTTCGACGACCACGACATCTGGCATTTCCTCTCCTCCATCGCCATGTTCGGCTCCTTCCTGGTAGGTGCTGGTTCCACTGGCACAGCAGCCACTGTCCCCAGTCCCCCAGGTCACCACGCCCTGCTCCTCTCACTCCCCTCGCTCCACAGGTGCTGCTGACGCTGGACGATGACCTGGACTGTGTCCAGCGGGACAAGATCTACGTCTTCTAGGAGCCTGCAGCCACCTGCTGCCCTGGGACTGTGCCAAACGCCCGGCTGCAGCCCCGTGAGGGGGACGCACCCCTGGGGAGGGATGTCTGTGCTGCAGGTCCTGCCAGCCACTCTGTCCCCCTCCCCACACAGCCCGGGGACCCTGATTTGCCTCCTCCCCATCAGCCGGGTCCTTCCAGGCACTTTGTGCCCATCTCTGGGCCCGTCACAGCCAAAAATGGGGCTGGGGGGCCACCGGAGCATCCGTCCTTGGTGGCAAGTGACACTGGAAAAGGTGGTGGTGCTGCTGCTGCTCCGTGTCCGTGTGCCCGTGGCCACAGGGGGGATTGGGGCGAGTGCTGTGCCAGAGCCCCGTGGCCCCCCGAGCACGTGGGTGTGGGTCTCTCTTCAGTGCCTGAGTCGAGTGGGTGGGAGGTGGGGGTGTGTGGGGCCAGCACGGTGGTGGCAGTGGCTGGAGAGGCCCCACTCGTGTCTCCTCTGGTGTCCCAGGAGGGGGTGGCCGTGGTGGGCCCCTGTCATTGCTCCCCATCGAGGTGCCGCGCTCCCTGTGCGTGGATCTGCTGGGAAGGGACTCGCATTAAAGTGTCTGCACTTTGCCCGTGCCTGCTGCCACCTGCCAGGGCTCCCATGGGGCAGCTGCCACCACCCCGTGTCAGCCAGGCCCTGCTGTGCTGCTGGCTTCTTCTCCCCACGGCATTTTAGGAGAGGGGAGATGCAGCAGGGGCTGGGAGATGCTGTCCTGGAGAGCACGTGTGGGGAGGGTGGGGGTGGCCTGTGGGTCAGGGGGGGACTGGCAGCCCCGCGGGTGGGTAGGGATGCCCAGGAGGGTCCCACTTCACGGGCAGCAGAATTCCCTGGGGGCTGGGGTCCTCTTTGGCATCGTCTCAGTGCGATAGCAGCGCTGCTGCGTGCTCCGCTGGGCACTGACCCGCTCCAGCTGGTGCTCGCGGGGCAGAGGGAATCCCGGGATGTGCGGGATGCCGCAGCCTCGCTGCCGGCCCCGGCAGCCCTGAACGGACACCGTGGGTGTCACCCGTGCCCCCCCAGCATCCCCGCGGGGGGACCCCGCGGCTCTCGGCGGTGAGCGCACGGGAAAACCAGCCACGAAGTCAGGGCAGGAGCCCTCGGCGCTGCCGCCTGGCTATAAAAGGATTTACTCCATCAGCCCCCGGCCCGGTTCCGCCCTGGCCCCGGCCCCGCTGGGGCGGAGGCACGCGGGGAATGCTCGACCACGGGCTTTCGTCGGTGGTTTTCGGAGTCTTTCCCCAAATATGGTGCCTGGGATGGAGTCATGGAGCGCTGCGGGGCCGGGCGCCCCGGGAGGGAGGGTTTGGGGGGGGCCGGGCTCCGCGCCCCGCTGACATCACCGTCCCGCCGCCCTCCTTTTAGTGCAAGGTCGGGGTCCCCGCGGGGCAGTGCGCTGGTCCCTCACCGAGCATCGCCCTCGCTCCATCCGCAGCCGCTTGTAAGTCCTGCCGCGGGGGGGGGGGGTGGCGGGGAGGGTCCCCGGGGTGGGAACGGCAGCCCCCGGCCAGGGGTGCTGCTCCCCGGGATGGGGACCCTGTACCGGGATAGCGAAGCTGCTCCCGGGACTGCAATTTGCTGCTCCCTGGGTGACGCGGATTCTCCTGCTCCGGGTGGAATTCGGCTCCCCGGGATGGGGATGCTGCTCCTCGGACTGCGCTGATGCTCCCCGGAGGAGGCTCAGGCTCTCCTGCTCGGGCTGGGGTCACTGCCGGGGTTCTGTGCTGCTCCTGCCTCTCAGCACCCCGTTCCCGGCGGGGCTGTGCAGCTGCGGGTCCCCGCGGTGGCCCGAGGGGCCGTGCGGGGCTCAAGGCAGCAATGGAGGGGCAGCGCCAGCCCCCAGTGCCCGTTTCTGCCCCGAGTTCGGTGGGGACGGGAGATGGGCACGGGGCTGACGGGCAGTGCCATGTGGCCGAGGGAGCCGCGTGTGACCCCTCTGAGCCAGGTCGGGCCAGGGCATGGAGCGGGATTGGCTGTGGCCTCTGTAGCATCACTAGGTATGCCCAGCAGTGCTCCGAGACCGGGCACAGGTTGCCCGTAGGGCTCGTGGGGTATCACCATATAAATCATGGGGCTCCTGGGGCACCCATGCGTTGCTGGCAGCAAGCGGGGGTCGGTGTCCTCTCCCGCACTGAGCTGTGCCAGGTCTCAGCCCACCCTACAGGAGCTGGGGTGCCCAGCGGTCAGGATGAGCCCACTGCAGGCCGGGTGTGGATGTGGGACACCCACACAGCTCCTGGAGGCACCCAGAGGCTTCGTGCCAAGCAAGGAGCCGAGCAGGGAGGAGCGATGCCAGCTCTACCAGAGGCTTGGCTGCCGCTCCTAGAGCCTCTCCCTGCTGGCATCTTCCCTGGCATCCTCCCTGGCACCCTCGGGCCCTGCCTGCAGCCGGCTACCTGCCATCAGTGCCCGCAGCATGTCCTTACAAGGGCACGGGCACGGCTCCCACTGCTCCCGCCTCAGCCGCGCTCCTCCCCGGCTCCCGGACCTGCCGCTCCAAGGCCACCCCGCCGCCACCCTGCTGTGCCACGGCCACCGTGCCACGGCCACCACGGCCAGCCAGCCTTGACGTGGTCACCCTGCCACCAGGATCCTGGCATGAGTCACGCCGGGGACATCCATGCCAACCAAGAGCTGGCAAGGGACAGGGATGAGGCTGCTCCTGTGCACAGTCTGAGCTGGGGATGAGGCGTCTCTGCCAGGACATGATCCGTCTGTCTGGGCGGATTTTGGAGGTCATGTGGTGAATTTTCCTCCAAACACATCTGGATGGAGCTGAAGGGCTGTCACCTGGCGAGGGAAGAGCCGGAAGGGCTTGTCCCCACTGCAGCACAGTGGCAGGCAAATGACACAACGGTGTCTGCGGGGTCCCTGGATAGGAGACAGCATCTCCACAGCCTGACTGTCCCTGTCGTGCCACCAGGTCTCCCACCACCGCAGCCATGGCAAACAAAGGGCCAGCCTATGGCATGAGCAGGGACGTGCAGTCCAAGATCGAGAAGAAGTACGATGACGAGCTGGAGGACCGGCTGGTGGAGTGGATCGTGGCACAGTGCGGGGCTGCCGTGGGGCGCCCGGAGCGGGGCCGCCTGGGCTTCCAAGTCTGGCTGAAGAACGGCATCGTAAGTGGGGTCCGGGGGTGGGAGGTTGATGGGGAGCTCCGAGGGCAGCACAGCAGACCCAGGCTTCCCTCTCCTCTGTGGCAGGTGCTCAGCAGGCTGGTGAACAGCCTCTACCCCGACGGCTCCAAGCCCGTCAAGATCCCCGACGCACCGCCCACCATGGTCTTCAAGCAGATGGAACAGATTGCCCAGTTCCTGAAGGCGGCTGAGGACTACGGTGTGGTCAAGACAGACATATTCCAGACCGTGGACCTGTTTGAAGGTGCGGGAGGGGGCAGTCGGGGTCGGGGGTCCCAGAGTTGCTGTGCTGTGCCCATTCTCAAGCCCCTCTCTCTGTCCCTGGGCAGCCAAGGACATGGCAGCGGTGCAGAGGACGCTGATGGCCCTGGGGAGCCTGGCAGTCACCAAGAACGACGGGAACTACCACGGGGACCCCAACTGGTTCATGAAGTAAGTGGGGGAGCGCAGAGCTGGGCATGGGGACTCCCTTGTCCCGCGGCTGCTCAGAGCTGGCTCTTTGCTCTGCACATGGAATTGGGATGACAAACTTCCATCCGGGGAGGGAGGGCGGCTGGGACATCCCTGGGGATGGCGGGGGGCTCCTGGGCAGCCGAGGGTGCGGGTGCCCCACGGGCTCTCCCTGTGCCCCGCAGGAAAGCTCAGGAGCACAAGCGGGAGTTCACCGAGAGCCAGCTGAAGGAGGGCAAGAACATCATCGGGCTACAGATGGGCACCAACAAGGGAGCGTCACAGGCGGGGATGAGCTACGGCCGGCCCCGGCAGATCATCAGCTAGGCTCGTCCCCGCCGCCCCCAGCCCTCCCCAGCCGGGACCTCCGTCTCCGCTCCCCCCGGCCCAGCGCCGCCGCCAGTCCATTGGTATTTATTGAGGAGCATCCGCCCGCCAGCCCCATCGCCCCCGCCAGCGGCCGCACCGAGCCCCGCCGCAGCCCCCGCGCCGGGGCCGCAGCCCCCACCCAGCGCCGTGCCCCGGGCAGCCCCTCTGCCCCCGGGCAGCCCCTCTGCCCCCGGCCTCGCACCCCCGCCGCCAGCCGGTGCTGCCCTCGCCGGCACCCTCGGGTGGCACGGGCCAGCGCCCCGGCCCCCGCGGCCACCGCCCTGCCCGCCGCCCGCACGCCACTGCCGCAGAGATCCCTGCGAACGGGGAGAAGGGAGAATTGGCCTCGGTTTTGTACTTCGTTTTTGTCAAAATTAAAAGGTTATATTCATCTAGCGTGGCCTGACGAGGTTTCATCCCGCCTGCCCCTGCTGCAGCTGGCTGGTGGCACCTGAGAAGCCAAAGTTCTTCTCCCTAAAAGGCTAAAGCTGCTCCTTCTGCCACCTCCAAACCTGGGAAAACCAAAGCTGGAGCTTCGATTTTCCCTGCCCGGCTTGGAAAACTCTGCCCTCTCCCCCCTGAACAATGACAGCCACTTTTGTCCTTGCTCCTTCCACTGCTCAGGCCCAGCCCTTGCCTCTCCTCTTTTATCCCAGGGCACAGAGGGCATGCAGCCCCCACAGATGCAGCACCCGGAGTTGGGAGGTGCTGTGTGACACATTTTTCCACAGTGTGGAAGCTTTGGGAGGGCAGAAGATGGATGGGGGGAGAGGAGGGTTTTTCAGGCTTTATTTGGAAAGCTACACAAAAGGGCTTTGCTGATTAAAAAACAAACTCCAGCTTTAAAAAAATAAACCACCGAACCCAAAGACATGTGAACAAGCCAACCCTGCTCAGAGGAGCCACTGCCAGAGCATCTCAACCTCCCCTCCCCAGCCCAAGCCAGGCCTACCTGCTACCAGAGGTGCTGCTGTGCCCAGTGACACAGGGACAGCCCCATCCTGCCCCCAAACAGGCTGGCTCCTGCCTCTCCCACCCCACAGCTGCTCTGTGCCCACAGGAGAGGAGGAATCAGCAAGATTGGAGCAGGGAGAAGTGCTGGTTGGAGATGAGTGAAATAACTCCCTGCTTCTAAACTGGGATAACTGGTGGGTAAGGGCCGGCTGCCAGCCCAGGGAAATGCCAGTGCTGCGGGGTCCCTGCCTGCAGAGGTGGCTGCCAGGGCCTTGTCTCGTTTTCCAGGCTCACTCTGCAGAAATCAGGGACAAAGTGACACGTCTTGGCCCTGCTGCAGGGGCAGGAAGGGGCTGTGCAGAGCTGCCTGGCTCTGTGGGAATGGCACTCCACACACAACGGAGAGCCCCGAGCGTCGGGCAGGGCAGGCTCTGTCAGGAAAGGGTTTAAGGCTTGCTTTGTTTTCCAGAAGGAGGGAAGGGAAGCTCCCTTTCCAGTACCAGCCCTCTCTCCTTGTTTCTGAGCCATTTCCAACACCACCTTCTGCAGGACACAGTGGCAATGGTCCGTGGAGGCCCAGGAGTGAGTCTGTGCTGCCCGAGCCCAGGAAGGTCGTTCCAAGGGAGGGCCCCAGTCCCAGTCAGCAGGGCTGGTGCTCCCTGCCCTCCCCGAGGAGTTCAGTCGATGCCTCCCGGCCCAGGAATCCCGTTCCAGTGGGGGCTGCCTCATGGAAGCTCATGGCTCTGCCATTGCTGGAAAGTTTGGGGTGAGTGGGGGTCCAGGACTCCTCCTCCCCGTGCCGGGCAGGCTCCAGGTGCTCACACTCCATCTCGGCCTCCTCCACGTCCTTCTCCCGGTACAGTGGCACCGACTCCATCTCCAGGCCGCTCTCCAGGGCTCGGTGCTTCCCACCTTGCTGGTACCACCTGCAGCTGCTGGAGCTGGAGCAGGCCAGGTCCAGCCCCACCTCGTTCCTCGTCAGGCAAACCTCCAGCATGTAGTAGAAAGTCCAGAACACGGCAAAGCATCCCAAGAGCAGGAGGGTCTGCAGAGGGAAACCCCTTGAAAAACACAGCTCTCAACTCGCCCAGGGCCCTGCCCACTGCTCAGCAGAGAGGGCACAGGGTACTGAGCAGGGTCCTGTTCTCCCAGCTCATTCTGGGGGAGGCAGGGCTCCCAGCCTGCAGGCAGGCTCACCTTGAGGGTGTTGGCTGTGATGGTGTAACGCTGCTCCTCGGGGATGTCCAGCCCTGGGGGACAGGGCAGGGAGAAGTCACTGCTCAGGTACTGCCCACTCATGGCTTCCTCCAGCAGCCTGGGGACAGAGACACCCCGTGAGGGTCCAGTGGGTAGGGGGGTTCCGGGGAGGCTCCAAAATGCCCACAAAGGGTGTGGAGCGTCTCCTTCAGCACACAGAGGTGTGTTCTGCAGCCATGCCTGCCCTGTGAGGTGTGAGGGCAGCCCCAGTCTCACCTGGCAGCAGCACGGCTCCAACCCACTGCTCACAGGCAGGGAGAAACCCCTCAGCCTCCCTCTCCTGGCTCCCTCCAAGCTGGGGTCGTGGGGTCCTACCTCTGCCGTTCCTTTATCTCTACTGGGGACCAGGAGGAGCCGTACAGGGTCAGCTGCCACTGCTTCAAGGTGCCAGGCCTCAGGCTCTCGTCTCCTGGGGAGGAAGCAGGTTGGTTCAGTGAGGAACTCTCTGAGCCGGCCAGGTGATGAGCTGGCAGCTCCCTGGGACATGGCACAGAGCTGTCACCACCCCGAGGGAGGCAGGACTCACCGATGTCCCTGACGAGCAGCCTGTAGGTGCCCTGTGCCTCCTCGCCCCAGCACCGCACCGTGGAGAAGGTCCAGTCAGAAAAGCCATTGGGGTCCCTGCCAAGGGATGAGGGAAAACAGCCCATGAGGGGTCACAGAGCCTGAGCCACCAGTGGCCATGGCCCCAGTGCCCTGCCCTGCACACTGTGCTTACGAGTCCATGCTCCGGGTGGTGCCGATCAGGGACATCATCCCGCTGGGGCAGAACAGCCGGATCTCCAGGTTGCCACGGCGAGGGTGGGTTATGGTGACAGTGACTGCCACGTGCTCCAGGGTCCTCATGCCAGAGAGCTCCAGGTCGGCGGGGGTGACTGGGAAAGGGAAGGGGGGTTGGTCAAGGCTTTGAGATGGAGTCCCCACTCCCAGCCAGTCACACTGGGCTGTGGTGCCACCTAACAGGACACACAGGTTGTCTCTGCCTCTTCCCAGCTGTCCTGTGTGGGACTGGGAGCAGAAGCCAGGCTGGCCCTTCCCATCTCAAACTGCTCCCAGCTCCACGAACGCTCACAGCCCGAGCTGCTGACCACAGCCCACCTCTGGGTGGGTGCGTACTAAGGGGGGACTTGGGCACGTGCCAGCAGAGCCAGCAGAGTCCCCTGTGTGCAGGCCCTGCTCGGGGCTGGGAAGGGCTGGGGCTGAGCTCTCCTTCCCACTGGTAGCAGCCAGAGCTGTTCTGTTCCGGACAGGCCTGGCCAAGTCGGGAGCTGCAGCATTGCCTAAAATGGTCAAAGCCAGCCGAGCGCCTCTGGCCCCTGCCCAGCCCAGCCCTGCTCCCGAGCCCAGCCTGCCTCCCCAAACACATCAGTGCAGCCACGGGGCTGTGGGGAGGGGATCCCCTGGGGATGGGCAGCGGAAAAAGCCCGGGCAGCCCAGCACTTAACCCCTTCCTGGCCTCCTGCAGCCCAGGGCTGCTGCTGCCCTGCTGTGCTGCCTGCCAGGCTGGCTCAGCACGTGCTCTCCTCTCCGTGGCACACCTGCTCTTACCGTTCCAGGCCACCTCCAGCTCCTGGGGGAGCACTGGGATGCTCCTGCCCTCCTTCAGCATGGGGCTCACGTACGAAGCCAAGTATGGCACGGACTCCCAGATCTGCCAGAGGAAGGAGAGAGGGTTCAGCAGGGATTGCACCCTCCCTGCACATCCATCCCTCCGTCTCCCACAAGGTGCTCCCGTGTGGATGAGGGCCCAGGCCAAGGCGCCTCTCCTGATGATGCTCTGGGACACACAGGCTGCTGTGACACCCCAGGGATGGCAGCAGTGCCCACACGCCCAGGAAAGGAGAGAAAGTCACTGCCTGGGAGCCAGAAGGGCTGATCAAGGTTTGGGACTCCCCAGCTCTGCGTTTGTCACAGTGGCTTTGAGTGGTGTCTTGAGGCTGGTCTTCTCCAACCCTTGTTACAGTGGCACAGGAGCAGCAGAACCCAACTGCCTGCAGGAAGAGGGAGCAGCCTGGCAGTCCCTGTGACCCCGGGGGCAGGGCTGGCAGCAGCAGTGACCCAGCACAGCTGCACAGAGCTCCACACACGAGCTGGGACCCAGTGCCAAAGGGACGTGCCCCAGGCTCCGTGTGACCAGAGCAGGAAGAGATGGGGATGCCACTGCTGCTGTGACCACACCACTCCCCTGGAGCTGCCAGCTGAGAACAGCCTGCTCTGGGGGCAGGACAGCCTCCTGCAGCCACTGGGAGGGAGGAAGGTGCAGGGGCTGCTGACGAAGCTCCCGTTGCTGTGAATCAGGGCCCTCGCCATGGCTATATATAGTGCTGGAGAGCAGCAGCTCGGGGCAGCTTTCAGGCACTGCTGGGAGCCTCATGACCTCATACCAAAAGCAGCCTCAGAGCCAGGGCCAGCAGGATGGTGGCCAAAGTGCTGGCCCTGAACGGCAGTGGTGTCACCCCACGGCGTCACCAGCACAGGACTTGTCCCTGCCATGGGGCTGGGCTGCTGTGCCTGCACACAGGGCAGGTGTGGGAGGGCAGGGAATTACCTTGGCAGCGTTCACCAGCCTCCAGGCGTTGAGCAGGCCGAAGCCATGCTGGTGGCTGTGGCTGAAGCCTGCCTGGTTCGTGTCCCACTTGGCGTGACGGTCCTCGTACTGCAAAGAACACAGGGTGCTCTGCTTACCTGGGGGGACCCAGCAGCCTGAAAAACCCCCAGGCCTGAAGGGAAGGAGGCCCAGACACATCCCACAGTGGTGGGGAAGCAAACCCACATGGCCTTATTAGAAAGGAACAGGTTGACCTTTGCTTGAAACAAATCCCAGGACAAAGTGGCTTCCCATCTCCTCAGAAAGGAAATGCAGCAGCATGAAAGGGCACAAATGCCTCGGCTCTGAAACATCCCAGCTGCTCCCTGCTGCCCAAACCACTGCCTGTGGCATGGCAGAAGCCTTGGAGAGAAGGAACAGAGTCCTTTAAATCAGCAAGAGCTGGGGCAGGACAGATCTGGGTCCCATCACTTACTGGGTTGTACTGCAACATTGGATTGGAAGTTATGGAAAACACCGTCCCATGCCAAAGAGAGCACAGCATCAGCTGGACACAGACTCCTGCTCCCCAAAAGGGTGTGGAAGAAGCCCGAAGACTCCAGTGAGTTCCCACTCTTGCTCTGGGTGAAGGGAAGGGCTGTGTTTGCTGCCCAGCTCTCTGTTGGGCCTGTTTCCTGGAGCCCAGTTCTCTGGAGAGCCAGGAAAGGCCAGGCCAGGGCCCAGCTCCTCACTTTTCCACTGCCTGGACCATGAGAGGTGACACTGCAGAGGTGTCAGCCCTTGGGCTGGGCCAGCCCCACCCCACACACAGGGCTGAACCCTGGAACCTCCTGAACCCTGGAACCTGCAGTGCTCTGGAACCTGCTGAGCCCTGGAACCTGCTGAGCCCCTGGAACCTGCTGAGCCCTACATTGGCAGATAGAAGCATTCCTGAGGCAAATAACCCCATTTATTATCATGACAGGAGAAAATGCCTCAGCCACATTCCTGGAAGGAACACGGGGTGAGGGGAAAACACAATCCCCGTGCTGGGAGCCAGACGAGGGAGAGATTTATGGAGGGGCAGCAGACATAAACAAGGATGTGCACAGCAGGGCCGTGCAGTGACCCTGGAGGGAGTGCTGGGAAGGAGGGAGCAGGAGGGGAGGGCCACCCGCTCACCTTGGTGGCAGTGAAGACGATGACGTGCTGCACGTCCCGCCAGGTGAGGCACGGCCGCACCTGCAGCATCAGAGCGATCATTCCTGCGGCCAGGGGAGCAGCAGCTGATGTCCCTGTGTGTCCCTCCGTGCAGCCTGTGCCCTTCTGCAAGTCCCAGTCTGTTGTCACCTGCCCAGGGAGAGCACACAGGTCTCTGTCAGGGCACTGTGCTGTGCTGGGGTGGCTGGACAGGTACATGTGGTACCCTGAGCTGTGCCCTTGCCAGCCCAAGATCAGGCTGTGACACGACTGTCCCTGGGACAGCCTCACTGCAGGGACAGATCCCAGCTGGGAAATGATGCATGGAGACAGTTCCCTTTGGGGAGAAAGAGACTGCAGGTGAGGTCACATGGGAGCTCTGAAGAGGCATCAGGAGGCTCCCAAATGATGCCACCTCACTGCAAAGCAAGTGCATCCATCTCCCTCTGCTCCCCGTGGGGAGAAAGCCCAAAATCTGAAGGGTTTCTGTTTTTGCTTGACTCCATCCGTTTTTCCAGCTGTGAGCGGCTCCAGCTCACGCAGGGACACTGAATGTCCCACATAGAGCACCCTGAGAGCACAAACTTTCAGTAGGAAGCACATCCAGTGCCAGAAGCTGTATTAAATTCTTCCCATTAAGGAAACCACACAAAGTTTATGGTCTGGTAAAAGAAAAAAAAAAAAAAAAGCTGGAGCAGATGGCTGCAGGGAAGTTAACTCTGGCACCACTGCAGCGAGCTCCAGGGTGTCCAGGAGCAGACTGTGCTTCTGAAAAAGGGCTGTGTGGGGCTTAGCAAGGCACAGGCTGGCTGAAGGAGCCACTGTGGTACAGGCTGTTCCAGTGTGGAGCTCGCCCTGGCTGCCCCATGCAGTGCCAGCTCCCCTGTCAGTGTCCCATAAAGCCAGTGTTTCACATGAACGTGCATTTGTGACCTTCAAAGCACTCACACCACGCTGGGGGAAGCCAGACCAAGCCATGAGCCTGCAGCTCCTGATGGAATGCAGCAGAACCTCACTGGTTCCCTTTTTTCCCAGTGTCAGTACTTTCCACACCAGCCTGGGACAACTGCAGAGATTTCTGAAAGCAAAAACCAGCCCCGTTCTGGGTTTTAGTCTCCCTGTGGCAGACTGTGCTGGGCACAGATCCCTGCCCTGGCTCTGGGCTGCAGGAGGAGCTTGCTGAGTCCCAGCCAGGTGCCCGAGGATCCCAGGCTCTCCCTGCTCCCCTGGTTTACCCAGCACGTAGGGAAGCCTGTTTGACAGGCTGGATTCAGCTGCTCTGTGGCAGGCACACAGCCACAGGAAAGTGCATTTGTGTACCTGTCCTGGCGAGAGATCCTCCAAACGTAGACAACCCAACCCTAAACAGCAGCAGCCTGTGATGCTTCCCCCAAGCTGCTCTGGGGTGGGTGGGCTCTACAGCCCCTGCTGGCCCCACAGGACAGGAAGGGGTCACAGCACTGGGTGGGGGCAGCCTGGCACCAAGGGAGGGACAGGCTGGGCCAGGCAGCAGGAAGGAAAACAGCCCTGGCTGCTTGGCTGGGGCAGAAAGGACGTGTTGTTGACAAGAACTCGTTTTTTTGGCAAAAGAAGGGAAAAGCTGATAAAAATATTTTAAAAAATTCGACTGGGAGAGGCCCATGTGCCAGAACAGAGGAGAAGCTGGGGCCAAGTGGTTTAAAGAGCCCAATGCTCTCCCTGGCCTCCGTGCTCCAGCATCCCTTGGGGACAGAGCAAGGCGGGCTGGCTGGGCAGGAGTGAGGGAGGCAGGGAAACAGGACCCTCTCTCTGGGGGATAAAAGGCACATCCTGGCTCCCAGAGGAACTTTGTGGGAATCAGAGGGGATGGTGCCATGTCCTGGCTGTCCCCAGGGTGGCCAGGAGGGCACAGGGGACACAGGTACTCACGATGCTCCTCATCATCTTGTCCCCGCCGCTGAAGGTCACGGCCAGCATGGAGGCACATTCCTCAGCATAGAAGGGCATGGAGCCCGTCTCATCCACAGCTCCTGGGCAAACGGGAAAGGCACTGCCTGTGTGAAACCTGCTCTGCCTCAACTGCTGCCATTTCAGGTGTTAATCCCCTAAGAGCCTCGCCTGCCAGATGTGCTCTTCCAGAGCCTGGGAGCTGGGCAGGGAAATCAGAACCAAGCCTGTATTTTCCCCATCTGGAAGATCTAGAGGAAGGGCAGCCACGATAAATAATCCCTCACTGTGCTCAGTATCACACACATCTTCTGTCCCTCTCTGCTCTGGAGAACATGGATTACACATTTCTCCCCTAACACAAATGATGGGAATGCTGCATTCCCTGAACATGGCAGTGTCTGTCAAAGCCCTGGGAGGGAGGCCTGGACAGGGGCAGGAATTTCTCTGATTTCCTCTTGCTCTGTATGTCAGAAGCGAACTGCAGGCTTGGGGTGAAGCCCAGCACGACCTAGACACTGCCATGCTTGTTCCCAGACACTTTCCCACAGATTCCCACCAGGAATCTGTGCTCCAGGCTGGGAAGGGAGGAGACAGAAGAGCCGGGCTCACCTATGGTGACAGTGTAGATGGAGTTGGCGTATCCATCGTAGTTGCAGTTGTCACTGTGCTGGCCCCCGTTGCCACTGGCCACCACGAAGATGCTCCCGAAGCCCCGGCGACCCGCAATCACCCCGTGCTGCAGGGCAGCCTGTGGAGAGGGACAGGGCAGGGGGGCTCTTCCAGGTCCTTCCAGACTGGTGCCAGTGACAGCACTGACAGCAGCCAGCCCACCACGTGTGATCAGGGCTCCCCACACTGAGCCATTGCCCCTCTGTGAGTGCCCAGCCCCACAGACACTGGGGCTTTGTCCTTGCTGAGACACAGCACACCATGGGGAAGCACATTTCAGCCCAGACACCTCACCCAGACCCCATTCCCATCTAGGGAAAGGACACGTCTGATGGATGAGCAAGAACACAACCCCACTGGAAGTGACTGCCCTGCTCTCCCTCACCCTGGCAGATGAAGGCACATTCTGCCCTCCTGACTGCTGTGGCACAGCAAGCTCTGCCTGTGCTCTGTGTCCCAGAGCTTGTTCCAGCTGTCTCTGCAGGCAGGAAGGGAATAAATTAACTTGCAGAACTGGAAACCATTTGTTATGGTGAGCGAACAGCTCGGTTGTCAGCGCTGCTCTGAAGCGCACAGGAACTGCTGAGCTGTGGTTGGAACAGTGCAGCAGAAGAGCGCTGGAGCAGAACCACACCCCACTGCTGGTTTGGGGGCCCCTCGGTGACCCCCTGCTGCAGCACAGGAAGGCTGGGTGTGTTTTCCAGCAGCTCTGCAGCACAGGAGCTCTGAGAAAACCTTAATGGCCTGGGAAGGAGCAGCCTCAGCTCTAACTCTTCCTCCCACTGCAATCCCACTCCCTTTATTTAGTCCCAGCATCCAAAGGCACCATCCCTGCCTTGAGAACCACAGGGAAACCTCTTCCTGAGCAGAGAGCATCCTGCAGGCTGCTCAAGTTGTCAGTACAATACCACAGGGTGTGAAAGAGCCTTTTCCTGCTGGAACCAGCCTTGGGAAGCTCGTCCTGCCCTGCCTGAGCGCCACCCCTCCCACCCGCACAGGGACAGAGAAATCTTCCTGACATCAAGGGACACACACAGACAGGGTGTCACAGCAACGTCCCTCCCCACCTGAAGGGGCAGGCAAGAAGCCACAAGCCCTGGAGGCTCCCCCAGGGCCGCTGGGGCTGGGTTTTACCTTGCCCAGTTGATGGGGGCCATCCACAGTCTTCCCATCGTCATCGGGACCCCAGCTGCAAGGAGAGACACCGTGAGGTGACAGCCCCAGAGTCCCAGGCAGCTCTTCCTGCCATTACAGTGAGCTCCCAGCAGCCACCAGCTGCTCCCAGCACCACGACTGGGACTGCAGAGCACTGCACTTTCCCACCCATCAGGATGGCCCCTCGCTGCTGGGATATGGCTGTCGTGTTTGCACTGTGCCCCTGGGTCAGATTCCAGTGGACAAAATGTTTGATTTTTATTTAACAAGCGGCTTCTCACACATTCCAGTCCCTGTCACACGGCTCAGCTGGGGCTGCCTGACCACAGTGGGGAGCACGGAGTCCCCTCCAGCACAGCCAGAGAGAAATCTCACAACTGTAGGTGCTGTGCAGAGCCCGGGACAGGGCTCCAGGAACAGGATTTTGGTGCCTCAGGGCTAACTACAGCCACAGGAGGAAGGGAGCTGGTGTGAGCACTCAGCCATGAGCTGTGACCCTGTCCCCAGGCAGAGCAGGGCCCGCAGCTGGGTCCCCTGGGGCTCACCTGCAGCTGTAGATGTCATTGATCTGATAGTGCTTGTTGAAGGCGATGGCCTCCATGCTGTCTGTCAGGGGCCCGTCCAGCACTCGGATGCCTGCAGGACAGAGGACAAAGAATGTGACTAACGTGGTCACATGAGCTGCAGAAACTGCAAACAAACTCCTGGCTCGAGGCTGCCCCGCTGTGCTCAGCCCAGCTTTGGAGGATCCGGGCAAAGCCTCCTGCTCCCTGTGCTGTGGGTACACCACGAGCTCAACCCTGCTTCTGCCAGCTGAGAGTCTCTGCCTGCTGTGCCCAGGGACTGTGTTGTGACCAGGTATGGCCAAAATCATGTCCCATCACTGCTGTCCCCTGCCCTGCCAGGGACACGTCCTGCAGGGCACAGAGACATCGCGTCCCTCTGCAGAGCAGCTCAATAGCTCTGGAGACAGCTGGGGCACAGCAAACATTCCCTGGCCTTGCAGGAGAGAGACACAGCACTGGTCCTTTGCCCCTGTCCATCCCACAGGGCAAAGCTGAGATCAGGGGCCAGGGCAGTGAGAGGGGCTGGGGAAGATTTGCTGCCCCACTGCCTCCAGTCACAGCCTGGGCATGCTGGCTCAGCCGGCACGGCACAGCTGCTCTGCCCAAAGTTTGGCAGCCAGGGAGGCCAAGAAAAAGCTACCAGGAGCCAGCTCCTCTGGAGAGAAGCTCAGGCAGGCCCCAGCCCCTCCCTGCAACAGCCCAACCAGCCTGAGCACGGCAGCGCTGACTCAGAGCTGCTGCAGCCCATGGAGAGTGTCCCACCCCAGGGATCGAGGTGGGGCACGCTGGGGCTGCCTGGCACTCTGTGCCTGGTAGCCCATGCCTGGCACCCTGTGCCTGGTGGCCCGTGCCTGGTGGCCCGTGCCTGCAGCCCGCACGTACCCGCGATGCGGCTCCCGTAGGCGACTCCCACCGTGCAGAAGCTGTTGTTTGGCACGGCCGCGATCTCCCCGGCGCAGCGCGTCCCGTGGTGGTTCCCGTTCTCCTCGTCGGGGTGAGGCATAGGGTCAGGGTCGTTGGAGTTCAAGTCATAGCTGCCTTCTGGGCTCTGCAAACACAGCCACAGTCAGGACTAGGGCTCTGCTCTCCTCATTTTGGGAAAGGCAGGAGTTAAGAGAATGCATCATGGGCTGAAACACAGCCTGGAAGTCATGGGAACTTGGAGCTTGCTTCCTCACAGGGCTGCAGCTCAACACTGCTATCTGCTGCTGTGGGGAAGGGACCAACCAAAGCAGCTCCAGGCACTGCTGTGGGTCAGAGGGACGCCAGCTGCCTCCCACGGGTTGCACAAAGGTAGGTAACCCCAAAACCCAGGTGCAAAATCTCCTAGGAAAGGTTTGCTGCTGGCACTTCCTGCCCTGGCTGAGCCCAAGGTGATTGTGCAGGATGGACTCTGAGCTCTTGCAGGCTCCTGTCACACTGCCTGGCCTCCAGCCTGCAGGCACTCACGTAGTTTGGCTGGATGTCCTTGATGGTGTGCTCCACGCCGTCATCCACCACCACCACCGTCACCCCACGCCCCGTCACGTTCCGTTCCCACACGCCCGTGACGTTGATGTCCTTCCCGGGGCTCTTGCGGTTGTTCTAAGCACCAGAAAGGACAGTGAGGGGAGAGCTGAGCGCTGAGGGGACTCCTGGGTGCATTGCATATGACGTGCGGGGCTGGGGCCAGCACGGGAAGGACTCTCAGGACAGTCAGGGGAGATGTTTTGAGGCTGACAGCGAGGTTGCTCGAGCCATGACGTGGAGGGCACAGTGTGCTGCAGCCAAACCCCTGTGCCCACCCCAGTGCACAACCAGCTGCAGGAGCTGCTTCCTCCCGTTACCACATCGAGCACGTGGCAGGAAGGGTGAGCTCTCAGCAAGCTCCCTCCTCACCAAAGAACAGAAAGAGGCTGTTCTGCCTCCCGCACGACAGCCCGAGCCTGCGAGCACGGCAGGAGCCAGGAAACCACTCACCAGATGCCACTGCTGGGGGTATTTGGGATCGTTAAAGTGCAGGCTGCGCTTGGAGCGCTTCAGCAGCTTCTCTTCCGAGTGCCACCGCACGCTGTCGTGCTGTGCAAACAAAGTGTCCACCGACCTCCTTATTGCTTCGTGTTCAGTCGCCGCGTGGCCATCGGGCTGGTAGGCAAAGAGGTAATGGCCCTTGAGCTCCCCGACACGGCCCATGTTCACCAGCCCCGCAGTCCGGGCCAGCTCCTCTGCCCGCTGCTCCAGCTCCTCCTCGGGTGCATCCAAGCTGACCGCCCACGTCAGCTTCCCGTGGTGGCCCTCAGTGTCCGGAGCGTGCTGTCCACTGCAGGCTGGTCCGGCTGGCGAGGCCAGGGGGATCCAGGCAGCGCTCAGCCAAAGGCACGTGTGGATGCAGAGCGTGGCCTCCATCCCTGCACTCCATAGCGGCGCTCCCCGCCTCCAATGCGGCATCAGACAGGCGGGCTGCAACAGCACAGGTGAAACTGGTGAGAACCCTTCCTGATCAGGGACACCAGAAGGTCCCACAGAGCCACACGGGGCTGGGGCTTGCCACCAACCCGCGGCACAGCAGATCCCCGTCCCGGGAAACCCCAGCCTAGGCGGCTCGGAGCTGGAGGCACACCCAGGCTGGGCAAGGATCGATCCCAACCCTGCCCTGTCTGCTGGGTGGCAGCCCCGGGCCAGGAAACACCGAGCTGGGCTGGCAGGAGGAGCCACTTCCTCCTCTCGCCTGTGATACGGGACCGATAAGAAACTCTTGATGCGCAGCTCCCCAAAATAAACACTACGGGCAACGCCACGGTCCGTGGGCAGCCCAGAGCCGGTTCCTCTCCTGCAAGAGCCCGAACTCGTTCCTCACCTGCTCCACGGCCGGAGGAACCTGCTTTTCCCTGGCATAGGTGGAAATCACCACCGAGCCCCGCTTCAAGCCGCATTCCGCAAGCCACGGCAGCGCAGAGCGGGACAAACACCTCCCGAGATCCCGCTCCGGAACTCGTCACCCCCTTTTCCTCCCTCGACCCGGTCCATTCCCCTCCGACACAACTCATCAGCTGCGGCTGCTGCTGGACACCGAGCTCCAGGCTCCTCTCCCGAGCAGCCGGGCTCTCAGCGCCCCGGGACGCACTCCGGCAGCGGCACCGCGCAGCGCCCCGGGGCAGCCCCGCTCCGCCGGGCACCGGCACCAGCGGCACTGCAGGGGTCACCCACGGGCACAGCACCCCCGTTCCCCTCCGCCATCCCGACCTGAACCCGCGGGGATCCGGCCACAGCGTTACCGGTGCTCCCCGACCCGGTGCGCACCGCGCCGCCCGCCGCCCGCCGCTGCCGCCCCGCAGCGCTCACCGGGCATGAGCCGCCGCCGCCGCCGCCGCCGGAACCCCGGAGCCGCTGACAGCGGCGTCACATCCGCCGGGGCTCGGGGCGGAAGGGGCGGCGCGGCGGGGGCGCGGGTCGTGCGCTCCGCCCGGTGCCGCTCCGTGCCCCCCCGGTGCCGCCCGGTGCCGCTCGGCCGGCCCGGCCCAGCCCCGCAGCCGCCCCCATGGCGCTGGAACAGACGCAGGTCGATGGTCCCGACCCGCCGCGTCTCTGCGAGCCCGGCCCCGCCGCGCCGCCCGGCAGGTAAGGGGGGGGCCCGGCGGGGCGGCAGCGGGATGGAACGGGGATGGAGCCGGGATGGAGCGGAGATGGAGCCGGGATGGAGCCGCGATGCGGACGCTGACCGATGTCCCCGTTCCTCGCAGCGGGAGCCCGCTCTCCGCCCCGGAGAGCCCCAGCGAGCCCGGGCCCGGCGGGGACGCGGACCCCGCGGCCGCCCCCGGCCCCGGAGGCGCTGCGGAGCCCGGGACCGGCGGCGCGGAGGCCGCGGGGCAGAGCGGAGCGGCGGCCGAGGAGCCCGACGAGGAGGCGGCCCCGGCCAGGCCGTCGCAGAACATCGCGGTGCAGGTGGGTGCAGCTGCCCCGGGGCTCGCGGGGTTTGAAAGAGCCCTGAAAGGCGCTCGCAGAACCTGGAGGACAAAGAACTGAATAAGTCGTGACTGAAGGGTGAAACGCATCCGTGCTTGCAGCTTTACAGCCGCTGCTGGTGTGCCCTGTCCTCCGCTTTGAACAGTCTTCAATTAATTTTTAATTAAAATTCTGCCCTAATAAGGCTGCACCTGGAGTGCTGTGTCCAGTTCTGGGCTGCTCAGTACAAGAAAGACAAGGAGCTAATGAAGAAGGGTCCAGTGGAGGCTGCGAAGATGATGAGGGATTTGGAGCGTCTCTCTTGTAAGGAGAGACTGCAGGAGCTGAGCCTGGTTGGTCTAGACAAGACTGAGAGGGGAATCCCATTAATGCATATAAATATCTCTGAGGGGTGTCAGAGGATGGTGCCAAATTCTTTTTGTTAGTGCCCAGTTATAGGATGAGGAGCAATGGCCATAAACTAGAGTGATAAGTTTCCTCTCAATATGACAGCTACTTTCTGTGGAGGGTGGCAGAGCTCTGGAACAGGTGCCCAGGGAGGGCCTGGAGTCTCTCTCTGGTCACTGCAGGGGCTCATCTCAATCATCTCCCTTCACAGACCGACTTCAAGGCAGCTGATGCAAATGTGAACACGGACCAGGACATCGAGAAGAACTTGGTGGGTATCGAAGCCCTGTGCTCAGGTCTGGGCTCTGCCCCCAGGCAAAGGAGCTGGAGCTGCTCTTGCCACTTTTTTCCTGTCAAAATAGAATCATAGAATCATTACATTTGGACAAGACCTCCAAGACCATAAAATACCAGCCTTGAAGTCCTTAAGCTGTCCTGTTTCAGAGGAATTTTGCTCTCCACTGCAGGACAAGATGATGTCCGAGCGGGCCTTGCTGAAGGAACGCTACCAGGAGGTGTTGGACAAGCAGAGGCAGGTGGAGAATCAGCTGCAGGTCCAGCTTAAGCAGCTCCAGCAGCGGAGGGAAGAGGAGATGAAAAACCACCAGGTATTTGGTGAAGAACTGTTTTTGTTTGACCTGCCCTGTAATTGATTTTATGCCTCTTTATGAAGAGGCAGGAGAACCTGTGGTCCAGATCATCAGTCTCCTGAGTTTCCTCATAATAACCAATTTATATCTTGACTGGATCTATTAAAGAGATTTATTGTTTATTCATTTGCTGTATAATCTCGTTAATTATTTAATCCAGAAAAATAACAGATTTTAAATCAAAACAGTTACTTGGTAATTTTGCTGTGTATCTGTGTGATGCTTCTTTTACTCCAGGAGATCCTGAAAGCAATTCAGGATGTTACGATCAAGCGAGAAGAGACTAAGAAAAAGATGGAGAAAGAAAAGAAAGAATTCCTGCAGAAAGAGCAGGATCTCAAAGCTGAAATTGAGAAACTCTGTGAGAAAGGCAGAAGGTATTTGTATGGAAAATAAAGTGTTTAATTTTGGGGAAGAAGGTTTTGCCTAACCGTGATATAAACCTGACAGAAGAAAGAGCTTTAAACTTTTAGAAAGCAGTGAGTATTTAGGCTAGACGTGTATATGGATGAATTTTGGATAGGGCCTGTATTTATATTGGCATTTTATGGAGCCATTCTGTCATGGTTTTTATTCTTAGGGCTCTGATGTTTTTGGGTAAAACTCCTCCAGTGATTGCTCCAAGTGCTCAGCCCTTTTCCCCTGAGTGACCATGGCAGAGCACGTGCTGGGGGAGCAGCACAGCTGCCTGCAGCGAGCCTGGTTCTGTGCCACAGCCTTTGTGCAGTGTCATGAGACAGCAGGATTTGTGCTCCAGAGGCTGTTGGCAGCCCACACACATTGCAGGGAGCCATCCCCAGCCCGTGGTGTGTGGCTGGGCCTGGGGATGGGCAGGGAAGGGGTTTAGTTTGAGTGTGGGTACCCTGCCCCGTTGAGATTTCAGCTGTGCTGCTCCTTTTCTCCCCTGCAGGTTGCTGAAGGAGCAGGAGGAGAAGGAAAACAAGATTGCCTCTCTGATTGCAGAGCAGTCTGATGAGAAGTAAGGCTTTTATCCTTCACCTGATTAATGCTGCCCAGTGCACTATTCCTTCCTGTCATTTTCCCTCAGAATGAATCCAATGCTCTTGGTTGGGACAGAGTAGAGACAAGGATCCAGCAGTGCTGGCCAGTTACGTGCTCTGGAGGTTTTATCTCCTCTTTCAGCATCAGGGCTCTGGATTAAATCTTCTTTGATCCCAGTCACAAGCAGACTCCTAGATGCTTGTGACATAAAGATCCCATAAGATTAGAGTTTGTGCTTGGTGGATTGTCTCAGCTTGTAACTGCTGCTTTCAGCTCCCTGGAATTAGGGCAGACTGATTTCCCTGTCTGTTCCCCACAGCTGTCCAGCTCCACTAAACTCTGGCATGCTCTGGTGTTTAAAGTTGGGCAGGGATGCTCCAGACCCAGGTATTCCCAAAGCACAAGTGGAAATGCCCAGCTTTAAACTTCTCCAGGATCAGGACAGCATAACTCTGCCTGCTGCTGGGGTTGATTCCTGGTTCAGATCTTTCCTGGGATTGGGCTGAATTTTGCTGAGGGGAATTCCCCTCGTTTGGCCCAGCGTGTTTGCACACTTCTAGTTTGCATGCCGTGGAACAGCTCACTGCTGGGACAGTGACTCACACAGCCCAGGGAGCTGGGGCTGCTGATCTTCCATGGTTCCACCCCATCCAGAGCTCCTGGGATCAATCCCTGTGCAGCCATTCCAGAGCCTGAGCCTGAGGGGACTCGTTCTGTTCTGTGTGCAGGCAGCTGTGGGAGATGGAGCTGGACAAGCTGAAGAACCAGCACAATGAAATCAACAGGAACATTCTTGAGGAGACGGAGCGGGCCTGGAAAGCAGAGGTGAGCATCTGATTTATTGGTTGGTTTGAGATGCCAGATGGTTAATGGACAGTTCTGTGAAATTAGGAGCAGTTCAGGACAAGGTCACGTCCCACTCTGTGGGATAAAAGGAAAGATGAACAAGTGTCAGTACAGTGAGCATTAGTGGGGAGCAGTGCCCAGTGCCTGGTCTGGCAGCAAGGAACAGGGGAGTACAAAAACTGAGCCTCTCTCCATAGATCCTGTCCCTGGAGAGCCGGAAGGAGCTGCTGGTGCTGAAACTAGAAGAAGCAGAAAAAGAAGCAGAGCTGCACCTCACCTACCTCAAGTAAGTCTGTGCTGTGTCAGAAGTGGAGGGAGAGTCACTCAGGTGTCTCCATGTCCCATCTCCTCTTCCTCTGCTTACACTGGAGGTTGGATTGGAATAGTTGAGGATTTCCTGTGGTTTTCTTACCAGATCAATGTGATTCAATAATGTCACACAGCAAGGGTGTGTGGGGCTGTGCTTATCCCCTGTCACTGTTCATCTGCCAGGCTCAGTCAGTGCTGTTGACTGTGCTGTCCCTGTGTGTCCCCCACATCAGTCCCACTCCCTTGTGGGGTGCCACCCTGCTGGAGGAGGGCAATTCAGGAGGGTGTGGGGGGTTGCTTCTCCCACTTTGCTGCCAGTGAGAACACAGTTGCAAGTGGGAAAGTTCAGCTGTGCTTGCAGGTCTGCGCCGCCCACGCTGGAGACCATGAGGCCAAAGCAGGAGTGGGAGATGAGGCTGAACAGGATACGAATGACCAAGCAAAGTGTCCGAGTAAGTTCCTGCTGACCTTTCCCAGCCTAGCAGTGAGCACACTTCTTCACACACAGTGTTTCTCCCTTCAGCTCCTCTTCCATTCTTCTGTGGAGCCAAACGCTGCCACTTTAGGCCTTGCCACCCCCCGGTTTAGAATGCCCCAAACTTGCCCAGGTTTGATAAATGCGCTCATTTCCTTCCCTCTCTGCTAGGATCAGTTCAATGACCACATCCAGATGGTGAGGAATGGCACAAAGCTGAGCAGCCTCCCCCAGATCCCGACGCCGACACTGCCTCCTCCACCTTCGGAAGTGAGTGCCTCTCCAGCCCCACAGCACGGGCATTCCGTGCTGCCAGGCCCTGGCACAGCCTGCCTGGTGCTGTGCATGTGTGGGATGGCCCATTCCCTGTTTGGGCTTACTGGAGAGGAGGGGAAGGGTCTCCTTCCCTTTCCAGCTGCCAGTGCCTGCTGTCTGGAGAAGAGGGCACTCAGCTCTGCTTCCAGGTGGTCTTACTCTAACCAGCCTTTCCCTCTTGCCCTGTTTTTCTTTCTCAGACAGATTTCATGCTGACGGCATTCCAGCCCAGCCCCTCCCTGACCCCCCGGCTCCCCTTCCCCATCGGGCCCGTCCCTGTGCCCATGGTGATGCCGAGCGCCGATCCCCGGGCTCTGTCCTTCCCTCTGCTGAACCCCGCCATGTCCAGGCCCAACCAGCCCTCCCCGCCCCTGCCCGCTTCCCAAGGGAGGAACAGCCCGGTGGTGGCATCGCTCATGGGCACGCACAGCCCCCACATGGCCCCCGCGGCCTCCATCCCTCCTCCGCCCGGCCTGGGCGGGGTGAACGTCGCTCCCGAGTTCCACAGGCCCCACCAGCCGGCTGACAAGCTGGAGAAGCTGCTGGAGAAGCTGCTGACTCGGTTCCCGCAGTGCAACAAGTGAGGGGCTGCTGGTGTTTTTTTGGGAGCTGGGGTCAGGGGAAAGGGGCTCCTGTTGTGAGCGGGGTCTGTGGGAAGTGAGGCAGGCAAAGGTGGTGGTGTCCATCAGGTTTGGTGTAGCGCTGGGGATGGGCAGCACTGGGAGGACAGCAGGGATTCCTGGGCACAGCCAGGAGCCCCACAGGCTGTCTCTGGGGATTCCCTGCTCTTCCCCAGTGTTTTGGGGAGAGAAGCTCCTCAGCACCTGACACGGCTCACTTGGAGGGTGAGCACACGGCTTCCCCCAGGCAGCGGTGGCTGAGGGGTCCCAGGCTGTGAGGACTGGGAACTCTTAGCAGGCTGCTGTCCACACAGGGCCCAGCTGACCAACATCCTGCAGCAGATCAAGACAGCCCGGAGGACCATGGCCGGCCTGACCATGGAGGAGCTGAACCAGCTGGTGGCAGCCAAGCTGGCGGAGCAGCAGGAGCGGGCAGCAGCTGGTGCTCAGGTGGGACAGAGTGGGGGCTGCTTGAAAGGGGGGGCCTGCGGAGCAGGGAGAGCTGCCCCTGCTCCCTGGTCCCCCACAGAGCTTGGGCTGTGCGTCAGGGCTGTCCCCTGGGTTCCCTTTCCTGCTGAACTCCAGGGAACTCTTTTCCCCGAGGTGACTCGGGGTGACTCCTCTGTCCTTTCCTCCCGGGGATGTTCTGATGTGCCTCCTCTGCCTTTCTGCAGCCTCTGGGCCGGATCAGGGCCCCCATGTTCTCTGCTCCCCTGCCTCAGATCAGCACACCCATGTTCCTGCCCCCGGCCCAGGTTGCTTACCCAGGAACAGCGTCACATGTAAGGACTTGGATTCCATGGGAGTGGGGAGGGAGAGGGAACCTGCCTGGGACGTGCCTGAAGGGATGAGCCCCTGCAGCTGGGAGCTCTCTGGGCTGCTGAGGTGAAGGGGAGGACTGGGGCCACAGATCCTTTGTTTCACATTGGAACAGGGACACACGAGATGTGATGGTGGCTCTCAGGGCGTGCTGGCTGTGGGCAGAGGGGACTGGGCGGCCTGTGGCCTTGGGCTGCAGCTGAATCTGTGATCAGAGCCATGTGTCTGACTTCCCTGCCTGCCCCTTTTTTTCCCTCACTGCCCATCCCAGACCCCAGCTGCCTGTAAGCTGTGTCTGATGTGCCAGAAGCTCGTGCAGCCTGGTGACCTTCACCCCATGGCCTGCTCACATGTGCTGCACAAGGAGGTGAGTGTGTTCTGCTGCTCGGGGCCTCCTCCTGGTCCTTCCAAGTGACCCTTCCCGAGTCCTTGTTGTCCTGACACCTTGCCAGGAGAAGGGTACGATCAATAAACAGCTTCCCTGCATCCTGTCATCCCATCCTTTCTGTACTCTTGGCTGGGCCACCCTGCGTGGCTGGCGGGTGGTGGCTTTAGGAACAGGCTGTCCTTGTGTCCCTGAGCCTGTGCTGTGTCTGTGAGGGTTAGACTCTGGAGCAGGACGGTTTGGAAGGATCTGGAACACAGGGTGAGCTGCCACTGCTGCCCAAATGTCTGGCCTGGGGATGCCAGACAGGAGCTCTTGGGAAGAGGAGGAGACTTTCCTGTCCCATGGGTCTGGCAGTGTGGGCTACCTCCCCATCCCAGCAGCTCTGGGGCCTCCAGCAGTGGCCCCTCAAGGAAATGGGAACTCATGTTGAGGAGAGCCTGACAAGAGTGACAAGGGCTCCTTCCTCATGGTGACCTTGAGATGGAGGCTGCAAGGAGCAAAGGAAACCATCCCTGAAGCGAGTGCTGTGGACAATGGTGGCACCTTTGGGATGCGCCAGTGGCTCTTGACTAATTCTCTCTCTTCCAGTGCATCAAATTCTGGGCACAAACCAACACGAATGACACTTGCCCCTTTTGCCCAAGCCTCAAATGACGGCTGCTGGGACAACGTGGGCCCCCAGGAAGAGTTGCTGTGAATAGACAGGATCAGTTCTAAGATTTCTACAGTTCTATATTTATACGATCATGTATACACATGTACATTTTTATTATATAGGTAATGTGTGTATAGAAAGTCTGTAAACATACAAATTCATAAATAAAGTGTGTATATTATGCAGTGATTTGCTGCAGCTCCTCATTTCTTAGTCCACAGCCTTGCTGGCTTCTTCCAAATGAGGGTCAGTGTTCCCTGCTTGCTGGGAACTGCCTCAGCCATCTCTTCCCACTTGGATCCCATCAGCTCCTTTCCTAGAGCCATTCCTCACCACCCCCACATCCCTACCAGTCATTACCTGTTCTTTCCCCTCTTGCCAACGAACAAGTTGTAGATAAAGAGCCAATTTCTCATGGTCTTTTTTTTTTTTTTTTTTTAATGTCATAATAATTTACCGTGTTAACATTCATTGTTCTTACATAGACACTGGGTTACAGAGTACTGGAGCCTCCAGCGACAGCCCATGGTCCCATCCCAATCCCATCCCATCCCCTGCTGCTGTCACTGGGCCCTGGGGAGGGAGCGGACGGACGTGGCTGCGCTGCAGCTCAGGATAAACCAACCTGTCCAAATTCCTGCGTTCCCCTCTCCTGTACTTCCTCCGAAAGCACGGGCTGACACGCCAACCCTTTCTCCATGGATGTCGGTGGGATTGCGAGGTGCTCAGCACCACTGAAAATCTTGCAACGACTCTCTAAAAATTACCCCCCCCCCCCCCCCCCCCCCCCCCGTATTCCTGGAGATCCGTGGCAGGAATTGGGCACTGCTGGCAGCCCCTCTGCCCCGGGAGGGCAGGGGAGCAGCCCTGGTGCTGAACCCGCCGCAGGCCGGCTCCTCCGGCGCGCACGCACACGCTCGCGGCGTGTTTTAAGGCAGTGGTCCACAACAGAGTCTCTGGGGTCCTGGGGGTCCTGGGCAGGCACGAGGGTGGGGGAAGAACGTTGCCCTCTTGCAGGGAGTGGCTGGGTGCGGGTTTGGAGCGAGGCTGGGGCCGAGGTGTGATTGAGCAGGGGCAGTGTGGGGGCTGTTGTGGCAGTGCCCCATGCGAGGGCTGGCTGGTCTCCTACGCTGCCTGCCTTTCCTGGCTCCCTCGCTGCTTTTCTTTCCCAAAGAAACGTGTGGCTGCAGGATATAGTTAACAAGCTTTATGCTCAGTGATTGCTCTGGGTGCTCAGTCTGTCCCTGCCTGACCCGGTGGCTCTGCAGGGCAGCCACCAGCTTGGCCCTGGCACTGCAGGTATCCCCTCTTTGTTTATGGAGGGGTGATGACTTTTAATTGTGGAATCTCCGCGTTTGAACTCTTTCCCACCCAGGCTGGAGGCCGAGAAGCAAGGGAATACAGCACTACTACTGCCTGCAAGGTCAGGGGTGTCTGCTCTGGGGAAGGGACGGTGACCCTGCAGCATGGGGAGGAGGGGTTGTCCTTACACACTGGAAAATCCTCCCTGTGCTGCAGGAACACCACGAGGACAGAGACGCCTCCAGTACTCAGGGTCCTTTGGGCTTGTGAGCCACTGCTCTGTGTGCTCCAGCCCTGCACCCCCTCCTCAAGCCAGCTGGGACCCCCTCACCTTCACCAAACACGCGGCTGTGGCACAAGCCCTGGCCCTGTGTGGTGCCCACAGTGGCTGAGGACTGAGCAGAAGGCTAAAAATATTTAAAAAAACCCCAAACCAAAACAGGACTGACCCCTAATGTTGGAACAGTAGCTTTCAGGGCTATAATTAAAAATAGAGATATATGGATATATTGTACAGGTGAGAGGCAGCTGTGGTCTGTACACGTGGGACCGGCTCTGCACATGCTCTCAATGCGCAGCTGCGCTACCACGCTTTGTAAAAAAAAAAAAATTAAATAACTACAACCATGTGTTTCAAAAACAATAAATGCTGCAGTTCTCACAGCTGCTGCCTGTCCCCAGGATGCCAGGGTGTCCTACAGCCTAGCCTGGACGTGGCCTGGATGTATGGAGTGAGCAGAGAGCAGCTGCTGTGCCATGGGATGTGCTGGCAGGGAGGTGGGGAGGCTGCAGGGGGGGCCCAGGCTCCCCTATGGCTTTTGAAGGGCTGGGTGGGCTGGGGAGCGCCGCTGCCAGGGCTGGGAACTTCACTCCTGGCACTGGCTCCTGCCTGGCAGCAGCTGCTGAGGCTGGAAGCGAGGGCAGGGAGTTTCCCATCCAATTTAATGTGGGGAGAGGCTGGGTACCTGCTCCTGCCTCTGCCAGGAGAGGATGGGTACATGCTTCTGAGTGTCCCAGGAGGGCACAGGGAGTCAGGCACTCATACACGCCCAGACACACTCGAGCACAGTAATAGAAACTCAGACATAGGCACAATCGACAACACTTGGGCACAGTAATACACACCCAGACACACCGGAGCACCCTCAGAAACAGGCATACTTGACAACACTCGGGCACACTCAGGTATCACATGCTCCTTGTATAAAATGTTATTTAAAAAAAAAAACTAAAAAAAAAAAAAAAAAAAACCTTAGAATTAAAATGAAAATGAAAAATAAAAATGGAAAAAAAATTACCAAAAAAACCTCTATTGCTTCTCCCTTGAT